ATGGCATGCTGAGTTGAGCTCAAGGTCCCCTCTGTAGTTAAGGAACCCTGTGCCATTTGGGTGACACCTGGCAGCAAGAAACAAGAGCCCAATGCCCTGATTTCCTGCTTTTATGGCACATTTGATCATTCTTGATTTTTAACAAAAAAAAAAAAAGAGTTGTTCAGCCTTGTTGTATAAGGATAATAAACCAGATTCAGTGGTGGTTTTTACTAGCTTCCTATTCTAATTTTCAGGTTTGATGGATATAAAAGGCTTCCACATCCAAGCAAATGCAGTGGAACATGCTGACTTCTCTAGGCAAAGGAGTGTGCTCTAATTCTACCAAATTTGAGAGAAACCAACTTTAGAGTCAGTGCTCAACAGCAAGGCCCCTGGGACAAGCCTAGGCCTCTGTTCCCAACGGGGGCTGCTTCCTTGTACAATTGTTTTCCTCATCTGGAATCTTCCTGGGACTCTGACATCCTTCTGAGCACCCACTATGGACTACTTAGGACTGACTTAGCTCCTTATTCTGCTAAGTAAGCTATCACCCCTTCCCTTCTGCTTTCCAGGCTGAAGAATCGTCTTTCATCCTGCTTTCTTGTCCTTGGGAGTTCATGCTGTGCTTATCAGAACCCTTCTTCTGCTAGTTTAGTGGTACGTTCATAAAGGCACTGAAGAGAATTTGTATTCAGTTTACCATTTTTAACCAGGAGTCATCTTTAAGTTTCTATAAAAATATTCCTTCACTGTTATTTCTCTTGTTATCAAATCAACAATGGCTTGAAGTTGTCCAACAAGAATGGATTTAATGCCTCCCTTCTTATTCCCTGTTTTCATTAATACAGTCTGAGGAATAATCCCTTGATTATTATTAAGTATTTTACATTATTCCTTAATAACAATAGCATTTAATTTAGCAATGAAATTTACTGCAATTATTTTACTTTACTAATGAAATATATTCTTTTGATTCTAAAATTATACCATTCACATTCTTTATTTTTATTTGTATCTTAGTGGGTTGGAATTAGCCTAATTTTTTTAGTAAAGGTTAATGAGTGATGTCTTTTCTGAGCCTTTGAATATGAGAATATCTTTCAAATTCCTTTACAGATGAAACGGAGTTTGGCTGGCTGTTGCTTTCTTTGAGTCTTCTCTTTTTCTGGCATTTGGTAATACAGAGGAGAAATTTAAGACCAATTGGACATTTGTTCCTTTGACGGTGACTCATTTTCTTTTGATGTGTGTGTGTGTGTGTGTGTGTATTAGTTGTAGATGGACACAATACCTTTATTTTGTTTATTTATTTTTATGTGGTGCTGAGGATCGAACCCAGTGGCTCACATGTGCAAGGCAAGCACTCTACTGCTGAGCCACAACCCCAGCCCCTGATTTGTGTTTTGACTTGTATTTGTTTTTCTTTGTAAATACTGAAGGATTTTCTTTTTGTTTTCTTTTTTCCTTCGGCTTAAAAAAATTGTCAGAAAGGAACTTTGAATTGATATTGTTTGGAGTAAATTTAGTTCTCCTTTTTTTCAGTTTAGTTTTTTTTTTTTAATTTGTCAGTTTGTCTTGGATTATTACTTCCCCTTCAGTTCTTCACTTATGTTTTCTCAGAAACAGTTATAATTGACTTTTTGTTGTTGTTGTTGTTCTTTCCGGTCCCTCAGACCTAGGATCTTTTTGCAGATGGCCTCATAGGGATATTTACCCTCTATACACCAGTGATTTAATTTTTCCTATGTGTTCTGCAATCACTTCTCTCCACGTGGATGATAGTGCTACTTTTCAGTTTTAGAATCCATGTAATGCTTCTTTTTTTTTCTTTTCTTTTCTATCTATAATTTCTTTTCATCTTACCAGAGGACTTTTATTGATTTATAGCTTTCTACTTTTGTTTTAAGAGGTCATATCTTCTTGTATCATATCAACGTTGCCAAATACGTTTTTAAAAATTACTTTTGATTCCTAGAGGAAATTATCTTTAGGAAACTAAAGATGTGCTTCCTTTGAAAATTTGCATGCTCGTTACTTTCCATATTCAGTACTGTTTAGTAGACCCATGCTGACTTTTAGCTGTTATTTTTATTCCTGAATTTGGAAATATTCAACCAGACCCTCTCAAAAAAAGAATATACTGGTTGTCCTTAGCCCCACTGTGCTCCTGTTTGTTAGTAAAAGTCCTTTTAGATCTCTGACCTCTTAGTGGGGGGTTGTTTATGGACTCTGACCCATTTTCAGTGGACTAGAAGACTTTCAGACAAGTAAGTATCTCCAATGCCTTGTTCTCTGTTACTTTATATATGAGTTATATAAGAACTCCAACACTCAGAATGCAGCACTTTCAAAGATCATCTTGTCTCTAAATCTGCCACTGACACTGCCAGGGTGCAAAGTACTTCCCCTTCTTCCCAGTTGTTAAAATAAAGTTGCAATCACTAACCCATGGAGTGGGGGATTCTCCTGCTGCCTCAAGAGGCATCACCTTGCATGAAAAAGAGCTGTCTAGGTTTCTGACTGATACAGATTTTTACATTTCTGTTCAAGATGACAGAAAGCAGAGAAAGAGAGATATGCGGATACATTTTCCTACTTGCTTAAAGGATTTCAACTTGTTTCTTGTTACCTCTCATCGCATTCATTAAACCTCATTTTATTCTTTTACTGTTGTAAAATCATTCTAATTTTAGCAAAAAAGTTGCTGGTAATATCTTCCTCCCTTGTATGATTGCAAACTGCTTTACTTTTTTCTCTTTGTGGAGATATTTTAGTAGAAAGTTGGGAGAGCCTCTACCAGGGGCTGGTGGCAAACATTTAAAATTAAGTGTAGCTTATATGAAACTCCACAGGCAAAGTACTTTTTCATGTTACACAGCACTTGAAAAATCTTGCTTCCTGCAGATATTTTGTGAAAATATACTCTGCCTTGTAAATATTCATCATGAGTTGTTAGTCAAATCATAGAGGCATCAGTGTTCCTGTAATAGAACCTATGTCTTAGGAAAACTGGGTCATTCTAGTGTTGAAATAAAATGTACCTAAGTAATGGTAGGAATTCCAATGACTTCTATAAAATTTTTATTATACATAAAAGCTGCCTGATAACTGCCTACTAACAGTAGTCTTAGAGCTGAAACAGCTGTTATAAATGATTTAATAAAGAAGTTACAAATTCAGTTGCCTCCAGGGGCCAGAAAAATAAGGCAATCCATCAAGTAGCCTTGTTCAATGCAAATAAGTAGAGGGAGGGACTAGAGTAAAGTAGAGATTACTGGTGCTACCAAATGCTTGAGTCATCGTTACAGTATAAACTCACTCTACCTTTAAAGATAGACTAAGGTCAAGGGATATTAACAGCCTCACCCAAAGTTAGGATAATCTATGTTCATAATCAGAACCAGTTATGTAATTTGTAAGGCCTAATGCAAAATAAAACATGGCACCCCTTGTCCAACAAATAAGAATTTCAAAACAGCTACAGTACAGCATTTAAATCAAGCATAGAGCCCCCACGTGAAGCCATCCCACTTCTGACCTAGAATTTGACTCAAATCACTCTTACCTGTAACCACCAAGAAACTGAAATTGAAGATGAAGTTAAAGTTAAGTTTTTTACTTTAATGAATAAGCAAGCCATGTCTACTTACTAGTGTCTTTTATGTGCGGTTTTAGAATCCTTGCTTTTCTATTAGTGTTTGGAGACTTGTGGAATCATTTTTGTTTCCATCAGTTTCTACTGTTGTTCCTTGGATTCAGGCTTTATGAATTGTTGGCTGTTTTCAACCCTGATGTTCAAAGCTCTTTTCCAAAAGTTAGTTCTGATTAAAGTCCAGAAAATGTGAAGAGTTGGTTAGTCCATGAATGAGTCTGCCTGTGTCTCCCTTGGGTCTCACTCAACTGTTGGAGACCCCATATCATTATTCTTTATTCTTATCTGAATACAGCTGTCATTTCCTCCAGATGATCTTGTACATTATTTGAATCATCTCGAAAGATCACCTTTCATTGTTGCCCTATTTGAAATTATTACATGATTTGCAAACACAAAAAGCGAATTGCCCTCTGATGGACTGAAGCTGACTGGTCATTTTCTACTTTGTGTTCATTTAAAACTCCTAAAAATCCCAAGTTTCCACTAACAACATAACCTCAGGAATCGTATGCAGTGAAATCTAGCCAGGTTTTAAAGGCACAGCTATTCACAGAGAGTACAGGAATAAAATTAGAAATTGAGTACTAGGGTAAGAGAGGGATTTTTTTTTTGTAATAAACAAACAAATACACACCTACATATCTTATAATTCAACATTCTTGAAACATTTCTATCATTTAAAATCTAAAGAAAAGATAAAATGTTTTTTAATTTAAAAACAAAGTCTACCAGGTAGATGCAGTTTAGAATGGTATATACTTTTAACAATTGTAATATTTCTTATTGAAATCTATATGACTTCCTTTAGCAACATCCACAAAGATGTCAATAAACAATTGTTTAAAAGACAAAAGAAACTTACCCAATTTTAGAATATTGAAGTTTTTTTATTCTTTTTTATATTTTTATTAGTGCATTATAATTATATAAAATATTGGGGCTCATTTTTACATAATCATACATGCATGGAATATAATTTACTTCAATCCCAGTGCTTCCCAGCTCCTTTCCTTCCTAAACAAACATGAACGTTAGTTAAGTCATTAGTGTCTGAATCAGATAAATTATTTGAATATCTTCATATTGTTGAACTATATCCCTTCATGAGTAATTAGCAAGAGAAAATTCACATGTTGGGGAAAGGGAGAAAATGGGCAAATTCAGTAAATGAAAAAAAGTTATGAATGATTAATATTCAAAATATTTGGTGTAAGCCATGCACATATGTGTTCAACAGCTAATACACAACAAGTTTAATCCCTGGAGAGGCAAATTTAATGGAGTTCATTCACTCACATATTTCAGAATATATTATGAGATATATAGACTGAATGTCATAGAATTTTTTTTTAACCTTCTGCAGGTGGAGATTTTCATTTTACCTCTACGTATTTACCTATGGAGTCCGGTTCCTGAAAAAGGTAGGATCTGTCAAATTACTTTATATAATTCTTATATAACCAGAAGCCTACATCCCATTTTTTAAAAATATGGGACTATATTTTAAACAGTTATAACAGTCGTCCTAAGAATTATTTGTGCATTTTTATTTGACTTGCAAGTAATCTTTTGTGTTCTTTTTTAGTAAATCATTTTTAGGCACATATCTAAGATTCTTCTGAAAATACTTTCTCTTCTTTTACCAGCCTGTCTTGTCCTAAGCATAATTTTCAAATAACTTCCTTCTTTGGTTAAGTAACAAAGTTGAACTAACCAAGTCATTACTCCGATTTAAATAACTTTAAGTACTTGATACATTTGTTTTTCCAGTGGAAGATGCTGCTAGTCCCATATCCATTCTAGCTAACTATACTTTTTTGCATTAGGAGCTTCATAAAATCCAGCTGATGCTGTAAAGGAAGTTAGTTTCCACATCACATATCACGCAACTTGATATCAGTTGTTGCAATGTAGGTTATCACTGTAGTCTTCATGAGTAGAAATTGCTCTTTTAACGTCTTACTTTGCAATTAACAGGGCAGCACTAACTGCTGGTGGAAAATTCAGTTCCTTTCATAGTTGTGCTTTCTTTGCCTGCTTTACTAAATCCTGCATGGACTAGGGTACCTTACTCTATGAAAGTAATTCATTGTGTCTACCATAGTCTTTCTTCCTAGTTATTTCCATGCATACTGCTACTACTAACAAGTTAGGCTGCTTAAATTTAGGACTCATGAAGAAGTACCTTCTGATAGTCATGTACATATTAGCAACAGTGATTTGACATAAAATGGAAAATTATTTTTAAATAATTTTATAAAGTGATATGATTGTTATCTTTATTTTACAAAAATATTTTTCAAATAGGACTTGTGCCAAGTAGCGTGACTTCCTAGTAAATCTTGTAAATATTGACATGAAAATTTCAAGTATGTTTTTATTTTTAAGGTCTGAGTTATCAGATGTAGTCTGTCTGTGGCAAATCCTATTATAGATAGTGGTTGTTTCCCATTATTATAGTTTCCTAGAGGAAATATTATTTTTACTCCTTATATTTTTCTTTGCCAATGGCACTTCTTTTTTCACTAAATAAGAATATATGGTGCAGAGGCCAGTTGGATAGATTTAAATGAATGAACTTTACCCATAAATAGGAAGAAATTCTCAATGGGATAAACTAATGTGTTGGAAACTGCATATTTTAGAACCTTGCTATTCTCACGTTCAAACTTATCTAGAAAAAAAATAGAATGACTGTAGGACATTTATGCTTGTAACTTTACTATATTGGAAGAAGAGATTGCTTTGGGTGGAATTTCAGCTGATACTGGAGAGTGGTGTTTCTGGGTACCTGGGGTTGCTAACTAGGGTCAAGGTTTGGAATTCTCTCCTGGTTCTATTGGTGACAGGCTTTGGTGGTAAAAAGGAGAAGATGATGAGAGCTAGGAGCAGTTTTGCCCTTTCCCCCAGGTGGGCTTGATATGGTTTCCTGTAGCTATCATACGTCAAGCATGGCTATCTGTCATCAGAACAGGAAGCACTCTGACATTTAGCTCTGGCTCACTCTGACCCTAAACAAAATGGGTGGAACAAGAATAACTTTTCTCTTCCAGTCCTCAGTGGGTTGTGGAAGACAGTTAAGAGGGCCTGCTGATAGAATGTTTGCTTGAAAATGTTTTTCCTTAAACTGTACCAGTTTTCTTTCAACTATCTCTGCTTATAACAAATGCTTTAAAAAGATAAAGGAACTAGACATTGTTCTGGTTAAACTAATTTGTAATGGGGGTTTCTTTCTTTAATGCTGTCTAAACAGCACCTGTTTTAGTTTAGTTTTAGTCATAATGTAAGATAGAAATGAGTGCATAGGAACCACGTGACCAAAATACCTGTGGAGAACTTCATAAGCCATCTTGTCAAGCCCTCTCATTTCATAGCTAAGGAAGCAGCAACTCAGAGAGGACAGATAGCATTCTGAAGTGAACATAGCTAGCTTACTAAAGCCTGAACCTCAAATTAAACACACACTGCTGTCTCTTATTCCAGTGCTTTTACCAGCCTGTCTTGACTTCAGCATAATTTCCAAATGACTTCCTCCTTTGGTTAAGTAACAAAGTTGACCTAACCAAGTCATTATTCCAATTTAAATAACTTTAAGTACTTGATACATATTTTTAAATATTTTTATCAACTGTCTTGGAACAGACAATGGTTTTATCCATCTACACCCAGAGGGGGGAAAAATTTGGACACAGCTTCGAAAATAAAATGAAGTAATTAAGATTTTCAAACTACAATAAATACTTTGAAATCCATTTTCTTCAATATAGCAGAAAGTCTTTTATGTTATTTTCCAAAGAGTAGTAGAAATTTTCTTCATAATACCAGTGTAATGAACCAATGTTAAGAGGTAGATGGCTGTTACTGGCACTCATTTTATCCAAAGTATCAATTACTATTACCTAGACTCTTAGAAAAATGCCTGGTACCTCTCATGGTTCAGTTTTCCTTTGCCTTTAAATAAAACAAACCTGCTAGGACTTATCTTCTACATTGAACTAAGTAACTGCCCTTTCTCCCCTAAAAGAATAAGGAATAGATTATACAGCATTTGCTTTACAGACATGTAAGTAAACTATTAAGTTATTGTTAGAGTGCTAGGAAATACTTAAATAGGTGAAGCTTGACCATATCATCTGCTTCTGTTATTGCTGTCACAAGTGACTGCCCATTAATATGATTGGCAGAGATAAGTATTTCTGTAAAAAGCAGCCCAGAGTTACTTAGTTACTTGATGTGTTCAAAAGTCCTAGCATACAATGGGCTTATACAAATTCACACATTTTCTTAGGTCTGTAGAGAAACTACATATCAAGCCTTAGAAAATAGACTAAGCTCTCTCTGATGTACTGCATTTACTGTTCTTTTTTTTTTTTTTTTTCCTCATTTGTAGACAGGAGTTTCTGTTGGGTGAAATTATTCAAATAGTTTTCAATGGACTCCTATAATTAGTGTCACAGGAATACCATATAAATACATGTGCTACCAAGATTTAGATAAGTATTTTTTCTTGTAATATACATGTTAGGCTAATGTATTTCCAACTTTATAGTCATAAAGTACATTTTATATCACAATCAATTCTGTACATGTGCATATATATAATTGAAAGAAAACTTACTCAAAATATATCTCTATCTAACTTCTGTAATCTGGGGGCACCTATTAAGAGACAAAAACCGTAGGGGATATTTTAAGCATTACTATAATATCAAAAAATCATTGACCAGAGGAACTCAAGGTAATTGACTCCCAGTGTGTGATGAGATAAGGAGCTTGCACACCAACTGAAATGAACCCACTTTGTTTTGAGAACATCGACCTGTGAACTGTAGCTGAACTGAACAGTGTGCCTCATGAAATAACTAATTTACAAATGAATATACACTCTGGTGTAAGCTCCTTTGTCATTGTGAATCAGTAACCAACATTTGAATAACCCATTGCTCTCTGCTTGTGCTATACCAAGGAAGGGCTCAGAGAGGTAGGAATGGCAGGGATATGCACCACTCTGAAGACCAAGGAGTCACAGGAAGTGGTTGCAGTTATTAGAACTTAGAATCTCAAAGGAAGGGCCATGAGCCCCACCAGTCTTCTGAGGAAGGGATGCAGCCCAGCTGGTGTCTCTGAAGGAGCACAATGATACTGTTCCTGGGAATGTGTAGAAACTGCAAACTAGAACCAACTGCTGCTACTGCATCCAGCTGCTGCTGCCACTGGGTGAGGATGCAGATGACAAGAACTGGAAGCAAACCAGAAAGAAGAGAGTCCTATTTTCTTCTTGCAGCCTCCCCCCTGGTGCTTTCCAGAGACCAAACTTGGCATGATCTCAGTCCCTCAGAGCCAGCAGAAGTGTGACTTGCAGAGTCCCACTTCTGAGGCTGAGAGCAGCATCTCTGTAACTAGCTCAACCTCAGCATATTGCTGCATTCTGTGACGTGCGTCGATAAATTATTGTAATTTATTTTATTTTTAAAATATGTTACTTGCTGACTTTGTGACTCACTACTGGGTGAAAACCTGAAGCTGAGAAGACTGTGTCAGACTAGCCCTTTGGCCATTCCCTTGGAGTTCCTGAGTACAGCCTGAACCAAGGCACAGCCATCATGGTTTCACGTGGCGTTCTCTTCAAAGGTCAACAACAAAAGCTGCAGTGTTCCCCTGGTGTCATGTTTCAAGATGTTCTCTTTTGCGTATTGGTTAGCATGGAATCTTTCTGACATGGAAACACGGTTGTCATTCTTTTCTCTATTTGAGGATGAAAATAAAATTTGTTCATCTGTTAGAATGTACATCCATTTAAAATTTTCTTTCGTCATTTTTAAAAATGTTGAAATTGCTTGGACAATGTTGCTTTTTTTAGGCAGCTTGAAATTTACTTCTACCTGAAAAAATGGCCCATCACATATTTCTGTAAGCAGTGCATATGACATAGACCACTAACTAGCATGGGGGAGGGGCCGTAAAGATCAACTTTCCCACATTTCTCATTTCAGAAAAGAAAAAAATAATAATTTCAGAAGGGAGATTTGACATGCCTGAGGCTAATCTTTTTTTTTTAAGAATTTTTCAAATATTTTATTTTATTTGTTTTTTGAGGCTATTGCGAAGGGGATAGTTTTCCAAATTTCTCTTTCATCAACAATGTATAGGGATGCAATTGATTTATGGGTGTTAGCTTTATATCCTGCTACTTTGCTTCATTCATTTATGAGTTCTAGAAGTCTTCTGTTGGAATTTTTTTGGGTGTTCTAAATACAGAATCATGTTGTCAGCAAATAGGGATAGTTTGAGTTCTTCTTTTCCTATTCATATCCATTTAATTTCTTTCTTCTTTTTTAAATTTTTTTAATTACTCCTAATCAGTTATACATGACAGCAGAAAGCTTTTTGATTCATTATACATAAATGGAGCACAACTTTT